ATGGGTCAGCGGGCGGGCCTGGGTTGTAGTCCAAAATTGGGGGCCGACCAGTAACCGGCCCGGAACCCACAGCGGGCGGGCTTTTTTTCACGCGGGCTGGTACCGGGCTCACATGTTGGCGGGCCGACCCGGCCCGGACCACCCGGATTGACACCTCTACATCAAGTTAATTAAAATCCTTATAGCTTGACGGAAAGATAATGCGATTGGATTGAGACGCAAACCATTGTAGAACAAGCGCACCACAGAATTGTATGCTGAAAAATAGCATAGGAGCTTGATTTTTTTTTTTTTTTATGATAACCGTGAATGTTTGGGCCAACTTGCTCGTACTTCGACTAATCTCATGGGGCCCTTAAGTTTACGGTCGTGTACTCACTCACCTCAGTGGCCCTGAAGGAACTCGAACTGGTGACTATTGGAGAGTAAATCCAAGGACTAACCAATCGAGCAACCCCTTGAAAATATATCTGTCTTCTGCTTCACATTATTTTTGTTGCGGTTATGTTATAAAGAACATTAAGGTTCACCATATTTTAACATACTCTTTGACACTATTAAATACCCAATTACATAGTTATAAAAATCAGTCCGACCTGGGCAGGGCAGGCCGAAAAATTGGCGGCCCGGACCCTTGATCGGGCCGGTCAGATTAAATTGATAGAAATGCACTTGGCAGTTGACTCGGTCAGAATTGGGTTTTGATCGAGTTAACCGGTGATTTACCGGCCCGGTTGACCGGTTTGATTGGATTTTAAAATCCTTTTACAAAATTTTTGGTTCCAAGGGAATTGAACTTTGGACCTCTAAGAAAATAAAAGGTTCCTCACCATTTAAACACAAAATATTATTTGTGTGCAATAATTTATATCTAACCAATGAATCATTTATAACTTTTATAAAAATATTCTCTTAAAAAACTTTCGTCCAACATTTTACTTTATTTTATAGACCTAAATAATTAATGAAAAAAAAATTAAAAATTTTAATTTTGCCCCTAAAAAAAATTTATACTTTGTATTTTTTTATAGGTTTTTATGCAACTACTCGCCGGTTGAATCACCGGGTCATCGGTTGAACCACTAACCCATTGACTCGCTGCATTGTCCAGATCAGTGTCCGAGTCGAGTATGACAACTATGCCCAATTATAAATAAATAACATAAGTCAAACATCTTCATACGGTATAATAAATATTTAAAACAGTACTAAATGCCTTATTACAAATATGCATTGCAAGTGCTAAAAACCAGTATTTAAATCAAGGGAGTCGACCCCCCTAGGAAGGTATGGTCATGTACATTATAGGAAGTGTCGCCACCTTCTATAGCAGCTCTTCTCCAAAGAGACGAGGCTTGTATAGGCCCATAGTTTCGGAATTTCTAACCGGTCTTCTTGGCAAGCAGTACATTTTTCACTAAGTTATTGAAGTTCAAGTAAGATGAACCGTCGATTTCAGTGGCCTCTTTTGCCTTTTTCTTCCAGTCGATTGCTTTATTCTTCAAACTCTTTCCCTTTTCTCCACCAATCATTTCTCTCACAATCTTCTCCACTTCAACTCTATTGACATTGTTATCAATTTCCATGCCAACACCCCATTCTGTGCATGCAAACCTACAATTAACAAACTGATCAGCAAAGAAGGGCCAACACATCATGGGCACACCACTACACATGCTTTCGATTGTAGAGTTCCAGCCACTATGCGTTAGGAAAACTCCGATGGATGGGTGGCTGAGCACCTGTTCTTGTGGGCACCAACGCGCAATGAGGCCTCTGTCTTTAGTTTCTTCGACAAACTCAGATGGCAAATTGGCAGAATCGCCAACTACGGTGTCTGACCTGATTATCCAAAAGAAGTTTTTCCTACTATTTGCTAGTCCCCAAGCGAATTCAATGAGTTGTTGCGGTGTCAAGACTGTTACGCTGCCGAAATTCACGTACACCACTGAGTTTGGTTTCTTGGAGTTAAGCCACTCAATACACCCTAGTTCTTCTTTCCAAAGGTTACCTGTTGAAACAATTTAAGGTTTTACAATAGATGGATCAATATGGTTGTATGATTGCATTATTGAGCTCAAATTTTCAACTCACCAATTATGAAAATTGTGCACGTGTCAAGATTTTAACAAAAAACTGAATTTGGTCTACTCCTAATCTCTTGAAGACAAAATTTATGCAAAAAACTAATTATAACCCCATCTCTAGCTCAGGCGAAGTGGTTCAATATCGTATCAAAGATAATGCACTATTGTTAGACCTTAATTGAAAGATAATAGATCCAACTTGCACATAAATACGTGCGGTGAATAAAATTTGAAAAAAAGAAAAAAAAAATGTTCTCTGTCTAACAATTTAAACTTCTAAACAGATACCACAAATTACCTCCCATGAATTTCAGACTGTTTTCTTGAAGTCGATTGACAAGCAAGTGAAGGGGACCAATGAAGTAAACAGGAGGACACAGTGGCGAGAGAGCATTCAGAACCTCAGCCTCCAATGCATCAAAGGTATTGAAAATGATGGCAGATGCTTTTGAGACTCTTTCAGTCTCTTCCATTGAGAAATTTAGCATTGGATCATTTATATCCGTTGTCCGAATAACTGCTGGGAAGTCCCTGAGTCTTATGTTGTTCAGGCTGGGAATACAGTCTACAGTAGTGTCCAAGCATCCATTTGTTAAGTAAGATGAATCTGCATAGTTGATAAAACGTCCTTAAACACTGTATTTATGGGATACGGATAGAAAAAAAAGAAAAAACCGAAGATTTCACATGATACTTCTAATCGAAAAATGAAATCAGGGAAAGAGACTTTTTTTTTTCCAGTTTGTATAAAACTCTACTGGGCATAAATTAAGACTCTGTTTACAGGAAGTTGAAGGTGTGTCCACACAATCTCAGTTATGTATTAATCTATGATGAGATTTTCATTTCATTCAGCTCTATGTTCAGTTCTTTCTATTCATTAATTGGATCTTTGTCCCACATTCGAGAATCTCCTTTGTTGTGAAAATATGAACAATAAATCGAAAAGAAGAAGAATAATAAGATCAACATACATAATATTAGCAGTCCAACAATATGCCTATGTCCACTGCACGAAACAAAAAAAAAAAAAACCAAATTTAAAATAGGATTACATAAGGTTGTTTATATAGGACCTTAATTCCAAAATTACTCTTACAATATCGTACGTCGTACGATACCGTATTGCAGGGGCTCAGCCTCACAACCCCTAGTTATCTACATCTATCCTAACGAACTAGTCCCATATACAAAAATATGAGCTACTTAATCAACATCATCCTTTCTATTGGGGAATTTTTTTTGCCAAAATAAGTGCAACGAAACACAGCGTGTACGGAAAACGAGGACAAGAACAAAAGAGAACACACGTGAATCAAATATAATACCGCAAAACCTAATTGCTAATGAAAGACACCTAAAACAACTAATACTAAAGATAAAAGTAACACTAAAAAATAACAACATTTTAAAAGTACAATCTATTTTCATCGTATATTTGTCCATGAATCTTGTGTTGTAGTCTCACCTTACCCCTTGTAATGATTGAAGATTTGTGTCACTTGTAGCATAAGCGTTTGTCATATTATTGCAAACTTTTTAGACCACTACACTCTAATTTCCGTAAGCATCGATTAGGGCAATACACATTTTGATAACATGAACAAGAACAATCAAAGTTCACATGATTTTTCAGGAGGAACATCTTTAGGCCATTATATGAAGCCTATGACGAATGTACATGGTCTTCCCCTGTGTCAATAGTCTTGGTTTTACTTAAAAATTGACAAATTTATTCTTTATTCCGAATTCTGCAATTGTTTAAGTTTTATGTTTTATTCATTTAATGCGTTTTGTTCTTACTCGTTTAGCTTATTACTTTCAGGCAAAATTTTATGAAATACTTTATTACATTCTGCAAGTCAATTCTGAAAATTTTAATATTCTGCAAAACATCATAACCAACAAGCATCGATTAGGGCAATACATATTTTGATAACATGAACAAGAACAATCAAAGTTCACATGATTTTTCAGGAGGAACATCTTTAGGCCTTTATATGAAGCCTATGACGAATGTACATGGTCTTCTCCTGTGTCAATAGTCTTGGTTTTCCTTAAAAATTGACAAATTTATTCTTCCTATGGCTTGGCTCTCTAACCTTTCACGTAGTATGGTTCTGGGACCCAAGAGATTTTTAGTCCCCAACCTATTTTGAATATATAAATTTGGATTCTTAAGTAGCGAAAACCATCAATTTAGACGTTAAATTTGCATGAATTGAAGCTAAATGTTAAGTTGTTTGATGATTTTATCGTATAACTGTAAACATTTAAAGTCAAATGCGATTCTAACCACTCTAAGTAAAGGTTGGGGAGCCCAGCCCTTATGTTTATGTTTGTGTCTCGGTACCATTTATTTAATATATGTAGTATCTCCAATGGATTTTTCTATTTTTAAAGAACATATTTTACAATTGAGAAATCATCTAGAAATTTAGAGAAATGTTTTTTTTAAATACTCCAACGAACCTCTTTATCGTTAACATTTAATTTATTACATCCAATATGTATTTATTATTTTTTCAATGTTTTTTATTTTCATTAATGTCCCTTCAAATTATTATAATTTTTCCTTCCATTTTCTTTGTAGCATTAAAAATTAGAATCTTTTGAAAGGATTTAATTATAGAAAGTGGATTTAATTATTTAAATTTTGAGAGTCAAACTCACTCTCTATTTTAAAATATTAATTCGAAGAGTCTTTTGTAGTATAATTTTAATGATTGACTATTTGAAATCGAGAGAGGGAATTTCACTTTTAAAGAGTCTTCTGAAAATGTTTTTATGTCTCTAATAGAAGGATGAATATGATATGATATGCACGTGAGAGTTCATATTGAAATCACAATTCAAATAAATAAATTTATCTTACCTATAATTCAAGAAGAACGTACCTTTGAGAGGTATGATTCCTTTCTCAATCAGTTTCCGCAAGTATTTATTGCACAAGAAGCAGCAAGCATTTGTTGTACGGAAACACACACATGGAACACCAATTTCGTCAGCAGCCACAACGGCAAATGACAATATAGCATCGGATACTATACAGGTCACAGGCGGGATGCCCTCAGTTGAAGAATTAAGCTTCACCAGAAGTTGGCGAAATGGCGCTAAACCGTTTTCTTTAAGGGAAAGACAGAGAGATGGGATGTGTTGGGTTGTATCAGAATCTGCCTGCGGGAGACCATCAGGGATTGTCTCGAAGTGGAAGTCCGGCGAGTTACTGCCAGCAGCTCCAGATTTTTGTAGGCGGCGGTGGTTGTATTCGGTGTTGACGAAGGTTATGTAAAAACCTCTGTGGTGAAGAAGTATGGCTAGTTTGAGCATCGGGTTTATGTGACCCTGTGCTGGAAATGGAAGGCACACTGCATGTGGCTTCTCAGGTTCCAAAAAAATGCTCATGTTCTTCTGATGAGGTAATGAGGAAATGATAATCTCTACTTGTTATGAATGGAGGGTAGAGATAAGATCTGCCGACTGCCGTCCAATTTTGCTGTCAAAATGGCTGTTCTATTCATGAAGAGTAATGTTATTCATTTTCAGTGGGGTTACAAACACAGTCTAAGTGGCTCTAAATGATATGTTAAATGATAGGTGAAATTAATTATATGCCATATTAACGTCACCTAGACTGTATTTGTAACTCCAGTGAGGATGAATAGCATTACTTTTCAATGAATTATTGACATGCCATCAATTTGATTAGTGATGCAGTTAATGATGGTAAATTTGAGATGATATATTAATTATTGATGACATGTCAATAATTTATTGGATGAACATTAAAATTGGACAGTAGATCTCGACTCTCGATGGTATGCTTAAATTGCATTTCTCTTTCTTTCAAATACAATATCTACTTATTTTAAAAGAAATTCTTACTTAATAAGTAATTTAATTTGAAATTAGGTTAATAGAAAATACTTACTTTTCAATTGAAAGAGACAGTCAATTGGATTTAATAATGCGGGTTACGAAACTTGCTTATTCACTTACAGTAATCATTTAAGCTTAAAAACAGCATACAAACCGGCAATAAAACGTAAATATAATTTTTAATTCCATTTTCCAAGACAAACTAAAGGGATGCACTGGCCCGTCCCTCCAGCGGCGGAGCTAAATATTTTTTTTGGGTGGGAAAAAATTATATAGTAAAAATAATTATAAATAATATAATTATAATTATTCCCAACTTGTTTTCATATTCTAAAACGTCGTATAATTATATTATTATCAATTTCATTAAATATATTTTCTCAATGGATGAAATACCGCTTTATTATATTATTAAATTCTTTCGAGAAATTGCTAACTAAAACTTTCCAAGAAGGACTTGGAAATTGTATATAGACCAGAGATGAAAATTGAATTCCCAATTCCCTTAATCACCACTCCTCGAGCCCCCAAAAAGTCAGAGAAATGAACCAAATGCATACAGATTAAAAATGCATTGAGAAAGTTCTAGAACTTAACATTATTTCAATATTTAGATCTATATTTTTGAATTGACAGAAGACATATAACTTTAGGCAAAAGATTTAGTTTTAATGGACCCAACAAGTCTTATATGATAAAAAACATGTCCTATTTTAAGATAGTCAGACGATAGCTACCTTCAATTTTTCAAGGTTGATAGGAGTGTATTAGTCGTTCCGCAATTCATTAGCTAATAAAGGCTAAAATCGAGTCATCTTATGGTCCGTATATTTATTCAAGAAAACACACACACATACAAACACAATAAGCATTTAATACTTTATGACGAAAATTGAAGAATGTAAACTCGAATTTCCAACCACAAAGAATAGTGGAAATAATAAGATGTTAAGAAGTGCAGAATAGGGTATAAAAGAAGAACCTTTTAATTTTTTTAATTAAAAAAAATTAGATTTTTTGGGTGGTCCATTGACCACCCTTGCCTAAGTGTAGCTCCGCCCTTGCGTCCCTCGATTGGAGATACGTAATAATATTATGATATAGGTAGGAAAAGTAAAGAAATAATAAAGATGAAAAATATTAGAAACGATTTCACATGCTTTCATATTTTTATTATATATTAAACGTCTTAGTACAATATGATTTGCATGTTTTTTATATTAAAATTTCAGCAAATAAGAAATTAATTTTTTATTATTATTTCAAGTCTATATTATAGTTGCATTATAGAGGCAAGTTTGACGTTACACGAAATCTTGGAAAGCACAATGCATGAGTCAACTATTCATGTCATTTCTTCCTTAATTTCTCAACAGACAGATTACGAAGAGGGGCAAAAACCAAGGTGAACATGTGATGGTGATCCTTTGCCCCATACTTTGAGATGCTCCTCCCCGTCGATCAAGGATTTTGATTCTCGTGATAGGCTTAGCTTTAAGCCGCTAGCGTTCGGTTCGGATAAGTGCCCAAATTTGGTGTATCATGTGTCATTGTTTAGCTGATAATATATACTTTTATCAAATAGTTCATGATTCAGGTGGTTCGAAATAAAAAA